CAGAACTGCAAATCCAAAAGACTACAGAAAAGCCAGCAAAATACTTGAACAAGCATTGTACAAAAGATGATATCCAAGCGGTCAATACTGAAAGGCGGCCAAGCTCATGAGTCATCAGGAAAATGCAAATCAAAGCTAAGATCTGCCAGAAGGACCCAAATTAACAAGACTGACAACAAAGATGTAGAGCTGGTGGGAGGGCAAACTGCTGCCGACCGCTCTTTTGGAAGTCAGGGTGCTGGCACCTGCTGGTGCTGAGCATGTTTACCTCAGGATCCTGCAGCTCTCCTCCTGGGTACATGTTCAGCAGAAACATATGCACCAGAAGGTGCGCTTCAGAACGCCAGCCGCACCCCGTGTACAAGAGGCACCACAGTGAAGCGGATGAGACCGGTGTCTACCCACAGGCCAAATTACACTAACAGGACACACACACTCAGCTATATGCAGCAATCGGAATTAATCGCACAAATAGGCAGAGTGAAAGAAGCCAGGCAGAAGACTGTCTTCTGTGATTCCGTCTAAATAAAGTTGTAAGTAAGGCTGAAGTTATTCTGATGGGGGAGTACGGCTGGGACAGAGAAAGAGGCTTCTGGGTGATGTTTTGGGGTGCTGCCCACACGGCTGTGTTCGTACACTTCTGAGGAGTCACTTACGCCATTCGAAAGCGTGACTTCAGGAGACTGTGCTAGATCTAGTAACTGGTGAGGAACCTGCCACCACAACAAAGCTCAAGAGGAAGCGGGAGGAGGAAGCCGGAGCATGAAAGGAATGAAATGATGCAGCCAGCTACTTTCTCTCCCTCAATACTGCCGAAGTGTTGGGTGGATATGGAATTAAAGGTTTCCCACTCCTCCCTTGAGCAGTGAGAAGCTCAGGTTATTTTCCTCAGTTATAAAATCAGATTTTTGTTGAGTTGGGCAGAGGGGATCTGGCTACCATGGCGGGGGAGGTTAACGAGGAAGCGATTGTGGCTTATGCTGCGCTGTGATTAACTCCAGATTTTGAGAATGATCTTCAAACCAAAGAGAATGAGGAAACATCCCAAGATTTGGAGAGAACCAACTCAATACAATTAATTTTCTCCCATTTGACTGCTGAAATTGAGGCTGCTGAAACCAGAAAGCAAGTACCAGCTCCTCAAGACCTCTTGGCTTCTATCTGTTTAGCCAAAGAAAAGATAAGAATGAAGAGCAGGATAGAATCAGTAAAAGGAGACGCAAAGAAAGAGTACCTCTGATGAAAACAACCCGGCAAAATCTTCAGATGATGATGAAAACCTGCAGCTGTTTTTCTCACCAGGAAAAACAGCAAAGCTTAGGATCCTCATCCTCTTCCCTTCTGGCCTCCTGCATCTACCGGTAATTGTTTTAGTGCTTCTGAGTGTGGAGGTATTCAGAGAAAAACAATACCCAGCCTAAAAGCAAAGGAGGATGCGTTCTGGTCAAAATGTAATGTAAGAATAGACATGGGAAAGCAGTTACCTAATTCTTCCTCACCGTGCTCCATTTGAGTTCTTCTCATTTGAGGATCTCACCAAGCCTCTCAAGCATCTTACCTTTTGTATGAAAAATTACTGGCAAGAAAAAAGTCTGTCTTTTATATTTGGCCTAAAAGAATCTTAAATCACACCAATTATCATAATTATACTCAATTACACGAATTGAGAGTTCTCAGCACGTTAATTGAAATGATGTGATAATGAAACAGCTCCTTTTCTTAGATTTCAGCCAATACTGAAGCTGCACCTTTGATTCTCAGCCCTGTTGGCCTGGGTTTTTGCTCTTACAGACACCTGGCTCCCCTGGGATGAGCAAAGCGTTTCAGACTTGAGTGGAAGGTGTTATATCTGAGTTACGGGTCCAAGTCACTACTCTGAGTGTGAAATACAAAACTGTGACCGCCTATGGGGAAGCGACCATTACCACACTCCAGTCTTGCACTGTGGTTAATGCAAACCTGAGTCGAGAGTGGTTGCAGAGCTGAGAGTGGTGATGTATGCCTGGAATCCCAGGACTCTGGAAGGCTGAGGCAGGAAGATCACGAGTTCGAGCCCAGCCCAGGCAACTTAGGAAGACCCTGTATTAAAAGAAAAGCCTGGGAATGAAGCTCTGTATCAAGGCTCTGAGTTTAACCCCCAGTACAGGAGGAAAAAATAAAAGTAACTGCACCAGTGCACACCTGGGCAACCAGCATCACCTGATTCTCAGTACCCAATTCTCGATCACCTTTTTCCAGCACACCTGCCAGGCATGACAAGGTCTAAGCCTGGGCAGCTCCTGTTCACTCCTAGAGGTCAACCCGGGGCTGAAGAATTTTTAAGTGACACCAGGACAAGTCAGGGCTATACCACCAGTACCTTAACTCTCCATGGCGGGGCAGCGACAGAAATGCAGACAAAGCAGGATCATCTGTGTGCCCGCCCTGACAGTGAGTCTGGAACCGCTGGCTGGGCACTGAGGGTGGCGGACAGCACTGGTACCAATGGCTGGGGAGCGTTCTCACACTTGGGCAGAACCAGAACCTGCAGAGGACTTACCGGATGGAGACTGCTGTGCAGAGATACAAAGCAGCTCGGGTATCTTCCTCACTGGTTGTCAGATTTTAATATGAGTGAATTATCTGGGTTTTTTTTTTCGGTGGTGCTGGCATTCAAACCAGGACCTTACACAAGTTAGATAAGTGCTCTACCACTGAGCTACACCCCTGTGCGCTGCCCATTTTCAAACTCTGCTCTGGGATTCTGACTCAGTTGGTACAGTATACAGGGCAGGAAGTGGCATGGCTGTTTTGTTAATTTTTTTCCCTGAAAACAAGCTCTCCTGGGGATTTTGATCTAAGCTGACACTCAGCAGCTGCTCAAGTTATTCCTGCCGTCCCTTAAGGAAAATGGGAGGGTTTCCGGTGAGACCAGAGTTTAACTTCCTCTGAGGCCCCATCGACCCTCACCCTGGCACTGAGGAAGAGGCTTTCCTACCCTGTTTCTAAGTGGAAAATCTCTAAGTTGCTCTCAGGAATTCCACTTTCCTTAACCACTGGCTTGCTCCGTGGAAGTAGGGGCTTCCCTGCACGGTCTGCGGCCTGAGAACTCGAGACTTTTCACCTCAGCACACTGTGTGCTTTCTGCCTCATGTTGAGCAAACTTTTCCCACCAAATAAAGTGTAGAATGAGTTCCGTGGCCAAAAATTATTTGACACATCAGTGACAAACTACGTGAAGAAGGTACAGGCAAAACCACTGTCATTTAAAACTTCTTCGTAGTAAAATTTAAAAAGTTCTTGTATAACACTCACAATGCAGCTTAAGTTTAGTGGTTTCTCTCCTGGAAAATGCTTGGGAGAACTATGAGGTTGGTAAATGCTATTGCTCTGTTACGATTGGTGACCACTGTAATGAAAAACCCACGAACAGCGGATCTGGGGAAATTCAGCAAGCAGAGACACTGCCATCAGTTCGCTCCCTGCTGAGGTTCCATCAAGGAAGTGACCCAAAGACCACAGCAGGGGCCCGATGGACCCCTCACAGTCCATACGCGACGTCCCACAAGGGACGGCCGCATCACTGTAAAGAGAATGAGGACTACTTCCTGGCGTTCTGATGGAGCAAAGGCAAGATGAGGAACGAGGTCTATTATTACTAGCTTTTGTCGGCCACAGCAGGCAAAGGCAAGAATCTGGGTTCCTGCTTTTGTCAGCTCCATACACAGCTAAGCAAAATGGGGACCGAGCCAGTAGGTCACATGCACAGTGCAGAATTTTATAATGCACCATTTCACATTTACCATTATTCTGAACAATGTAACTACACACTGCCTATTTTTTAAAATCCATTTAAAACAAAAACATCTCTTGGCCCCAAATTTCTAGGCACCCCTCAGAGGAACTATCAATATACCACTTTGGGCACACGGAGGAGAAGAATGAAAAGAATTAAATTCTCTACCTGCACCAATAAACACAAAGACATGTGAGAATTTCTTTATGTGAACAATTTTTTTCAAAGTACAAAAATCAAAAGAAAAAATCTTGGGAAAGTATTTTCAATGACTGTTTCTGGCTTATAAAAGACGGGTGAAATTCAATTAACATGATGTTTGGATTGTAAGACCTTTCCGTGAGACAGTACTTTGACACACAAACTAGGAAAATAGCCTGAAATACAAAAATACAGTTGTGATCCAGCAAATGGCACCGAATTAGAACAATTTTATTATTTAACATAACACCAATGTATATATACATTACCCTCCCAAAGAAGAAACAATTTGATTCCAAAGTTTAAAATGTAGTTTCCAAAATGAATCCTTACATTGGAAGATAAAATAGCTCTACAAATTAAGATCCTCGATTAAAATATGCACCCTGTCCTAACAATCTCTCCCATACAAAAATGTATATTATAAATAAAACTTTCAAAAAGGATCTCTGATGTTCTATTGCACCTCATCCAGAATACCTGCCACCGTGATAGGCCTGGGCCTTCCTCCACTGTGTTAGCTGCAGGAAACAGCTGCTCACATCTATCACTGTAAAGAGAATGAGGACTACTTCCTGGCGTTCTGATGGAGCAAAGGCAAGATGAGGAACGAGGTCTATTATTACTAGCTTTTGTCGGCCACAGCAGGCAAAGGCAAGAATCTGGGTTCCTGCTTTTGTCAGCTCCATACACAGCTAAGCAAAATGGGGACCGAGCCAGTAGGTCACATGCACAGTGCAGAATTTTATAATGCACCATTTCACATTTACCATTATTCTGAACAATGTAACTACACACTGCCTATTTTTTAAAATCCATTTAAAACAAAAACATCTCTTGGCCCCAAATTTCTAGGCACCCCTCAGAGGAACTATCAATATACCACTTTGGGCACACGGAGGAGAAGAATGAAAAGAATTAAATTCTCTACCTGCACCAATAAACACAAAGACATGTGAGAATTTCTTTATGTGAACAATTTTTTTCAAAGTACAAAAATCAAAAGAAAAAATCTTGGGAAAGTATTTTCAATGACTGTTTCTGGCTTATAAAAGACGGGTGAAATTCAATTAACATGATGTTTGGATTGTAAGACCTTTCCGTGAGACAGTACTTTGACACACAAACTAGGAAAATAGCCTGAAATACAAAAATACAGTTGTGATCCAGCAAATGGCACCGAATTAGAACAATTTTATTATTTAACATAACACCAATGTATATATACATTACCCTCCCAAAGAAGAAACAATTTGATTCCAAAGTTTAAAATGTAGTTTCCAAAATGAATCCTTACATTGGAAGATAAAATAGCTCTACAAATTAAGATCCTCGATTAAAATATGCACCCTGTCCTAACAATCTCTCCCATACAAAAATGTATATTATAAATAAAACTTTCAAAAAGGATCTCTGATGTTCTATTGCACCTCATCCAGAATACCTGCCACCGTGATAGGCCTGGGCCTTCCTCCACTGTGTTAGCTGCAGGAAACAGCTGCTCACATCCGGGTGAAAACCACACGGAGTCAGGAGTTCATGTCGGACCCTGCAGGGTGCTGGGCAGAGACGAGAGACGGCAACCTCAGCCTCTCACTGGACTGTTTCTGGCACCTTTTCTAGGAAAAGAACTTCCGTTTTCTACTGCTGAAAGGAACTGCAGGAGAGCCGAACCAATCAAAGTCCAGTTCAAAGGTCAGTTTTCTTCTTTTGAATAGGAAAAAAAAAAAACTTAGAAGAATTTTGTTTAGTCCATGGTCCTATTCCTTCCTAGGACCAGCCCTTCTTAAATCATCTACGGCTACAGTCAGGCTACAGGGTCCTACGAATGCTGTCCGGCTTCTGCAGTTACTGTTTTGGTCTCAAGCTTTTCAAACCTTTTTAGGTAAGCCAAACTTGCCAGAAAACAGCGGCCCTCACAGTGCCCAGGGTCCGAGTACATGTCCACACCTCTTAGCATAGCACCCCACATAGAGTAGGCATCCAATAAATATTTGATAAATGAATGCACTACACCTTTGAAGACCGCCTCCTACACTTACATGTATTAATGATTTATGAGTAATACGCTGATTTAGGGTACACCGATCTAACATGGTAACTAAAGAGGAAACACATATGACATGGAAACACACACTGTTAGAAATTTCTACAGTCCTGCCCTGGGACAGAACGTGTATGTAAGGGTTAAACTATTCCAATACTAAAAACTGATTAGTCAAACACTCAATTCTGCCAAGAGACCCTAACAGTTAGCCTTTGGCAATAACCAAACATACGAGGAACCCCAAACAAAACAACCCAATTGCACTACTACACAGAGAGCCAGTCCGTGGGGCGGCGTGGGGGCGCCCGCTAGGGGACAGCGACTTCCAGCAGGCGGTTGTTTTTTCGTTTGCAGGTGGGCACACTCCCGTTTTTCTGGTTGCCCTGAATAAACTTCACACATACTTTGTCTTGTCTGAACTGCACCAGGAACCTAGGAGGGAAGAATCAAATTAAATAAAAGTGCACACGAACAGCGTCTGCCTGCAGTCACCACTGGCTTCTGTTCTCTAACAAATACTAACCCTGACAAGTAGCAGCTATTACCTCTTTCCGTGAGCACTTCTGACTCAGAAGCAACTCTCTGCCTCTGGGTTCCAGGACTCACCACCGAGCCCCAAGTAAGTAGAAATTCACTCATGAATGCTCCATATCCCCAAAAGGTAAAAGAGCGGAGAATAATGATTTCCCTGTTTCCAGCGGCAAAATCAACATGCCTGACCCCCGTCTTTCTCCATCCTTGCAGGACAAAATATAAAATGGGGAAAGGATCTGTTAAATCACCAACAAATCGAGAAAATGAAATTGTTTCAGAAAAGGAAGGCAACTAGAAACGCCTTCCAAACACTGGATACTCACACACACCCTCCTCAGCACAACCCTTTTCATACCCTCACGCTATGATAATTCTTAGCTTGAATTATTTCAAGGTAACAGTGAGCTACAGCATAAAGATGATAAAAATCACGAGTTTGTCACTTATATTTTAATACCCTTCAAAACCACTTCCGTAAAGCACTCCTGAAAACTGTGAATGTAGGTCCCCAACACCTCTTGTGCCTGTGTACATGACACAGGGACGACACTGTACTCCGCTCTGTCTTTTCCTTCCAACCAGTGGCCGGCAGCTTTCTGCAGGATGGTCCCTCACCAGCTCAGGTGTTGGGGGCTATGGGAGGTGACGTCGCCGACCTCAAGACATCGTCATGGGGAGACAGGAAGGTGACGAAGCGGGGCCAGAAACCAGAGATTCCCTCCACCCAGGGCCACGGTGCCACACTCGGGGTCCCTGGCTGTGTCCTGTACAGGAACCGTAACGAGCGCGTGGCCGGTCACGGACACCCACGCCACAGCCAGGCCCTCAACTCTGACCCACCCCGTCTCCATCTCAAGGTCCTCAAAGCCGCGCGGGTGACATTAGCTCCTGGAGTCAAACGTGACACGTCAGCTCCTGATCCTACCCACTGTTTAGGAAGGGAAATACTTTGTGACCTTTAGAATGGGCTCTTTCTTTGCAATTTGAAAACACCAAAAAAGAAAGGCTACAGTTCCAGGCTGGCCTATTGGAGATTTTTGGGCACATACACTTTTATCTATGTGCCTCAAAGGAAAAAAAAAATCAAATTGAATGTGAATCACACATGCCTAGAAGTCAAGTACTTTTATATTTTAATTTTCAAAGGCCACATGTGGGTCATTTAATGTGCTAGAACCTCTTTGCTCATTAATGCTAACTGCCTCTTGTCCACACTGGACGGGATAAAAGCTAAAATGCTGGGCTCTAACTCCATGCTGCCCCTAGCCACTGCCACGTAGAAACTCAGCTTTATAGCAATCCTAGGAGATAAGTGCCATTATATATCTCCTTTACTAGACAAGAACGCTGAAAATCACCTTCCATCGAACAGTGACACGGAGTATGTTATCTTGCAGCATTAATACCAGTTAGAATTTGATGGAAAGGAACAGAGATTAGTTGTTTGGATCTAAGATATTCAGAAAAGCAACTGCACAAACCTAAATGATACACGTGTGTCTGAGTACACACATACATGTAATTTAGAATGTTTAACAGAACGAATTCACTTTACTTTTCAGCACACTCAGGACTTGACTTTCAGCAACGATTTATATCCTGCAGATTAAGCTTACAATGCAACCTGTGAATAAAGCGAACAGTGTGGGGCTTTAAGGCCTAGGAATTAGGGCAGCAGAGTCTCCCCAGGAACTCAGGGCTCCCTTCTCCAAGAGCAGCGGGGAAAGGTGCAAATGGAACTCCGACCCCCCCACGCGGACATCCAGCTTCTCCGGAATCATGCTAGAAGCTGGCTTCGTAGAGTAACTGCCACTTCTTCTGAAGAGGATGTGGAGGGTTTACTCTCTAGACTGCATGCTCTCTACAACACACACAGCTGCCAGAGATGGGTCAGGCTCAACAAGTGCGTCCCAGACAACCCTGCCCAACATGCAAAGCTGCTGTTTACAACGCCCTCTAAGGCAGTTTCCAATTCTAGCTAGGAGCTCAGGGGTTAGGAAAGAGAGGCTGTCCCAGACACTTCCTCCCCCAGCTTCCTAGGTGGTGGGGAAGGGACTTATGGGTGCTATGCTAAGTCTCTGTTGACTGAAATCCTGTGGCATCCAGAGCATCACAGCCCCATGTGACAGGCAAGGTCCCTGCTGCCCGGAAGTCAGTGAATCCAACAGGATGTGGACCTGCAAACCTGGCCCATGGTTGCCTACATCTAGGGAACACTTCGGTGCTATCATTCCCAAAGCCCCCAGAAGAGTCACAGTGTTCAACAAGATTTCGGAGGTCCCGAGAAGTGCTGCAGTGCAGAAGGACTTCACACTTCCACCCGGGAAGATAGGAAATGCTAAAATCAGCTGTCCTTGGTGTGGCCCAGGCAGAGGGATGATGTCTTCTCTTTCATGGATGGTATAATTAATGCAGCGGGCCAAGGGTGGGCCTGCTTCGCCTACGAGGTGTCACCCTCTGGAACCCCAAATCATGAAAAGCTTCAATCAGGGGGCACTTACAGGCCCAACAGGTTAAAACCATAACTGGCTCCCAACTGGCCGTTATCTTCTCCCAATATTCTTATTTTTTGCAGGAAAGTAACAAGAAGACTTTCTTAATCCAGCAGCCCATTCTCAGACCAGGGCACTAACAGCCTAAGTCTCACATGGTCATAGGGCACCTCAAATCTTCCTCACCCCAGCAGGCCTGGTGCACGAAGAGGCAGGAGTGGATGGGTTTCTTTTAGAAAGACTCGGGGAAAGAGGAACTAGGATAGCTGGGAAAATGCTTAGTTAGGTAATAAAGTCTTCCCAAGCCACCTGGCTGTGTGTGTGTTTTCAATACATGCAGCGAAGTCCACGAGGAGGTAGTGAAGAAGCCTACTGAAACATAACCAAGTATCAGTCAGTTTAGTCACTCAGACTCATGTCAACAATGCACAGTAGAAGACCGAAGTTCAAAAGAACATTTCAATTCACACCAGTCAGAGCACCTCTAACGAACACTTTCACGGGTGGAATGCCTTTCCGTGACTCTCGCTGTCTCTACTAAGAGGACAAAGAAGGTCCTCTTAAATCTGTCCATCCCAAACCACCCTGCCTCAACAAACCTCTCCTTCCTCAGTTCCTCGACGGCAAGAAAAGGTCCCCTCCCCGCCAGGGCTGAGGCCCAGACCTGACACCCAACAGCCAGCGCAGCCTTGTTTCCCTCTGAACGACTCTCCGAGTTCTTCCCCCTCTCCCACCATGCCCAGCTTCAGCTACACGTGTGGCCCTTCCCCGAGGCAGTGCAGAGATGAACTTGTTTCTGTGCTTCCAGGCTTGCCTCCAATTAGTCACTGTCCACACTGCAGCCAACGCTGCCTTTGAAAACCATAAGTAAGATCATGTCTCACCATGTTTCAAACCTAGGTTTTCTTCACATCCTCAGTGAATCGTCAGTTCCTATGCTCAGCTACCACGCTCTACGTGGCCAGGCTCCGTTTTTCCCTCCACGGTCTTCTCCTACCATCTCACTCTGCTCACACCTGCCCCTGGGCCTTTGCACACACAGCCTCTCTACCTGGCCCACTCCTTTACTCGATTCACACCAGAGAGGCCTCCTGACCTGGATGCCAAAAATGATGGCCTCTAACCCTTGATTTTTCATCTGCACAAGCATCTGTCATTAACTCATCTCCTTTGTTACTTTATTCCTGCATATCCATCTCTCCCGCCATAATGTCAGGTACTGGAGGCAGGGACTTTGACAGTGTCACCTGCTGTCTGGCCTGCCTGTATCCAGCACAAGTTCTAGGCCCATCCCGGGGACCTCCTGAGTTATACGAATGAATGAGATCACAGAGCTCGACTAAAACCGTGCGGCTGAGAGCGAAGCAGTGTACTGAGAGACACAGGAACGTACTCATCGGAAATTTCGATATTGAGCTTCTGCTTGGTTTGGCTGAGAGTTGTGCGATACAGCTTGGTGGCCATCTCAATCAGGTGGTCACTGCTGAAGAGAAAGTCTCCTTTGCTAGCTGCTTCGGAGCCCTGAAAGGACAAAGTCGAAAGTCAGATGATGAGCAGCAGCTGAGGGAGGCCAGGCTTGCAGGCTGGGCTGGAAACGCTCTAACAGTCTCCTTAAAACATGAGCCACCAGCGCCCTTCCCACCCAGTGACACCCTGGCCCCCACGGTCCTCCCCCCACCTCGCTAGGCTCCTCACTGCACACAAGGGCCCGGGGTGGCGGGTCTGCACATTCAGGCCCAAGGAGCCCGACCCAAGTGATGACTCCTTCTGGAGAATATCTTTCCAAAACTCCCGGTGATGTGGTTTAAAGAAAACAAGAAACAGTAACACTTCAGCAAATATCCCAGGGCACTGGCTCTCAAACCTTAGCCTCCAGGGGAACCATCTGGGGAAACTTCAAAAAACAGGACCTGAGAAATTCTGGTTTGACTACACTGGGGATGTGGACGACTTCACGTCACTGCAGTCGGGAGTCACTGTCCTATGACCTGAGTGCCCCTCAATTAGCAGCCACGGTGGGAACGCCAGCTAAGGGGAGCTGGAGGGGCTTTTCTGTGGGTCAGATGCATGTCTCTCCCTCAATACGGTCACTATTCGCTGACATCTGTTTGTCCAGTTGTGATGTATTATGTGCCAGGCCTGTGCTATGCATTTTACATACGGTGTCTCACATAATTCTCTTAACAGTGCTCAGAAGGACAAACAACTATTATCCCTGTTTCAAAGATGAGAAAAACTGGACTGGCACATGAAACTTAAATAATGTCGTCATGGTCACCATGGATGTGAGACCAAGGTTCCTGACTGCCTGACCACTTCTCTGAAGCTGGGTTCCTGGCCAAGTTAAAAACACACAGGGCTGGGGATTTAGCTCAGTGGCACCATCCCTGCCCTGGAAGCACAAGGTCTTGAGTTCGATCCCCGGTACCAACCAAAACAAAACCACACATTAAAAAACTCTTTAAGGTCAAAATCACCAGGCAAATGTTTATTGTAGTTGTATCTTTTGATAAAACCCCAAATTAAAGACAAGCAAGAATATATCTGTTCAACAGGTATGCTAAAGGAACATCCGGACACTTGCTCTGTAGTATTTTGGAGTTGCCAGATATTAGTTCAAAAAGTCAAGAGAGCAAGTCAATAAAAGTGACTAACCCTACTGAACTACTGAAAACAAGCCTGAGCATGGAAACAGAAGTGAAGACAGCCACAATGTGCACATCACTATGAAGGACCTCGGGCAATGGGACTGGTCAGGCGGGCACACTTTCAAACTGATGGCTGCAAACTGGACGAACGGGGCAACCTTTCAGTGACGTCGCAGGGACCCCTCACCTCCTTGAGGTGGACGGCGAAAAATCCATCGTTCTGTGAGCTCATGGACACCTTGGTCACGTCCACCAGCGGCACCTCCGACTTGATCTGTCCAGACTTTTGGTCAGCAAGGAGGAGATTATTATTTGTTAAGAGGAAAATCCGAGAGGTACTCTGCAACAAAACAAAAAGCACTGTAAAGCCAAGGATCAAAAACATCCCCCAATGGTTTACCAGTGTAACACACCAGTGTTTTCTGTGGGAATATATATTTTATTCCAGTATCTTTCAGCACGTACACCTATGTAAAATGAGAATACGCTAAATGTCATCAATGGCATATTTTAATTTGGGGAATTTTCAGATAAAATACAGAATGCTGCCTAAGCTTAATGGTAAGCTGAAATTGCCTCCTTCAAAGTACACTGAGGATGTGGAATGAAGATTTCAATACTCAGAAAACTCCTAAGGAAATCGAAGGATGGTGATTTAAGGAGCATATGTTTCCAGGGTTCACATTTTTACCTTCCCATTAGCGCGGTTAATTTTGTTCACAACTTCGGCAATGATGATCTTTTCTTCAATGGCGTCTTTGAGTTTCTTATACTTAGGGTTCTTGTTGATTTCCAGGTATGCTCCTTGGAATGGCTGCCCAACACTAAAGGGACAACAACAATAGATTCCTGCACATTAGAAATGGTTTCAAATGTATTTACACCCTACAAAAGGAAACCAGTTCTGAGTTACTGACAATTTCACGAAAAGTTATTACAATTTATCTGGCACGTTATACCTGCACCTATATATTTTTGAAGTGATCACAGCATCTGGTAGTCTGATTTTGATAAAAATCTTATCCTACAGAATAATCCAGACAGAAATCACTAACAAAGACACCACACTCAAGCACACAGCCTCGAGCAAAGGAAAAGGCAATCTCTCGGGAACCATTAATACAAAGCTAACAGCTGCCCAGCAAAGGTTCACTGATGCCTTTCCACATGTGTCAAGGAAGAAAGAGCTGCAATCACTACCTTCACCTGCTCCAAAGAAAAACTGTCCCTTTTGGCTGAGATTAGGACGATCAACAGGCTTTCTGGGTAAGAATGGGTCTGAGGCGGTCACTTAAGAATCACACCTGCCTTCCCAGACAGCGCTTACACCAACAAAGGGGCTGAGGCAAACATGCAGGATGAGAGCAGTTTTCTTCCAAACCTCTTGGGGCAAAGGGCACGATGCGCACACGTCACTGAGATGCTGTGTTTCCTTAAGGCAGCAGGGTGACCCTCAAACAAGCTTGTTGCTTGAAGAGATTCACAAGCCTCCTTCTGAGCTGTTCAGTTCTGGCAATGCACAAAGGCAACTTTAAATGCCTGTGCTGTGGGCGGCGATGAGGGAGAAGAATCCACGTAGGTGGCCCAGCATTGCACAGCTCCCGGGATAGAAAAGGCCAATGCCCAGACGAGCTGTGACTCCCAGTGCAGGATGGCAAAGGATCCCGCCTCTCCCAGCGCCCCAAACTGACCAAGGGACCCAAGAAGGACTTAACCCAGAGTTCGCTTCTTTGTGTTCCTATTCAAGCAGGTTTTAAATAATAAAAAGTGCTAGGAGCTTTTGAGATTGTTCCCTCTGAGATGTGTTCTCCGGCCTCCAGTTTCTGAAGAGCGGTCGGTAGGGAGCACTCACGAAGCTCACTCTCGCTCAGGGCAGGGGTGCTTGCCTGGCAAGCAGGAGGCCCTGGGCTCCGTCCCCAGCACCACACACAAGAAAGTTATGCTCTAACTTACAAATGGACAAAAGCAAAGCTGAATAACACAGGCTGCTGAAGAGAGATGCGGACAGTTTTCCCGGGTGGATATAACTGCTTCATACAGCAGGCACTTGTGACAAGTCTGGATGGAGTCCAGAGTTTGATTTGATCTGAGGGAGAATATACCACACTGCACACACAAACCAGCAACCAGCTGTGCCATTTAAAATATTCCAAATGTGAATAAAGGTTGAGCATATACGAAACGCATGTGAATACTTAGCGTGGGTTTTTAAACTTCAAAGTCATTCTTAGAAGAAGCTAAATGCTGCTCAAGATTCTGGATCAAAATTATACTGCCTACTCTTTTATAAATAGCAGTTTGAAAGGGGACAGGACTTGTGTGGGAAATGGCGAATGTAGGGTATATACAAATACGAGGATAAGCAGTCTCTTGCAAGGAATTTCCTTGCTAACTTTTAATATGCTCCCCCTTTTCTTCTGAGTACACAGTGTCTGTTATGAAGGCCACCACAGACCTGGGCTTACGCGGCTCTCGGAGACTGATATATGGTCTCATTCTTCCTGACCACACAGGCATGTTTCTGACCTGGCTTGTTCTGGCATGAGGCGATTACAGCATATTACAAGGAGAGATTTGAAAGCAGGAATTTACAGTGCAAATTGATCTGAACAGTCCACGTTATTTTGATTTTCTATAATTTCCAATTATTTAGCATTCAAGTTAATCCCAATGGGCTAAAACCAACAAATGTCATCTACTTCATCAAAGTGCACTTGGGAAGTCTGAGTGTGCTTCTGTGGTACTCATCATACAGCTGCTTGCAAGATGATCCACAAAATTAAAAATTCTTTATCTATTACTGAACTCAAACTCCACTGAAGAAGACTTAGAAATACAGTACTTAAAAAAAATGTAAAATACCAACTTGTATAGGTAAAGCAAAAAACATAATACCTAGATGGATACAAAGCCTTTTTGTCCTTGAAGAGTTCACTGGCTTCAAGCTTTTCTTCATAAATAAGTTTCTGCTGGTCTGTGAATTGGTCCCTGTACTTTTTACACTGTGAGATATGAAAAGAACAACAAAACATAATTTATCTAAACCATCACTCATTCTTATACATGCCAGGGTTATTTAACAGCAGCAAGAATAAGACCGAAGTATACGAAACAACCATTCGCTAGGCTGTGAACAGTTTTTCATGGTGAGTTTTGAAAAAACAGGTCTTAGAAAACTACTGCTGGTTCTTCCAAGCACCCAGGGCCCTGCTGGTGTGTCTACCAAGGAGTGTGGGGTCCTCCTGCGCTGGTGTCCTAAGGATACTCCAGTCCTCGGGGTGTCCCACAGTAACCGTAAAACACACTGTGCATCCCAGCTCACAACACACACACACACTCGACCCCACGCAGGGCCGTGGAACTCTCCCTTGCTCTCACTCTGGGAATGGATGAAGGAGCCAGGCAGGCCACAGGAGCTGCCCCAGGGGACCAGGTGGCGAAGCAACACCATCGCCATCCTCTCCCTGGAAGCCCTGTCTTCCATATCAAAGACCTCTCAGTGTCCAGCTCAGCTCCATGGGAGGAGGGGCAGGGTTCCAGACCAGGGGACAGCGGGCCCTGCATTAGCAGCTCCCTCCTGGTATTTCTGAACGTCTTCTGGGTCAATTCCCATGAGCGGCTCACAGGTTGCTGGATCTCTCAGGGAAACAGAGCTCAGAGACAGAGCCATGGGTTGCTTGTACTGCTCACTTCCCACACCGATGAGCACTAACGTCATACTACATGTGCCAGACAAGCAAGGCCACACTGCCAGTCAGAAATGAGTGCCTGGGAGACACGGCCATCGATCACCCCGCTCTCCTGGTTGTCATTGCTTCTGACAGCTGCGTGTGTTTGCTGTTCCACATAGCAACTAAGTTGCGTTCTGGATCAAGTCAGCGTCTACAACAAGGAGCCTGTGTGTCCCGACCCAGAAATCTCACACTATTCTCTCCTGTGAGAGACAGAGTGCTAATATATAAGGCAATACAGAGGAGATTTTCAGCTCCCCTTTCTTTAAATGGAGGAAAGTTGGTCTCTTGTGGTCTTTAACACCCCATTTCCAGTCCATCAAAGACCATGTGTTCACATGCACATCGGCACACATGTGTTCAACAAATCTGATCAAGTAAACCCCTACAGCTGGCAGGACTTAGTTATCCACTTTGCCTGAACAGGCTCAAATGTTAGGGTTTCTGTTCCCTGTAGTATTTCCTCAGAGAAAGAGAGAAACAAGCAAATAAAACCTGAAATGGAAGCGATGGAAAGTAAGTACAGCCCAGATGGCCCACAGAGGACCACAGAGAAAATGCCCGGCCACTGTAGAAAGTCAACGCCCAAATCCCCAAGTGCCACTCTTCCAGGCCAAGGAAGGTGAAAACCTCATTTTAGGCCGGTGGTACAACTCAGCGTGGACTAGCATGTATGAAGCCCTGGGACTGAACCCCCAAACCACACCCTCCCACACACACACACCTTACCTCACAACAGTTCTATGAGAGCAGTGCTATTATCCTCATTTTATAGCTGCCCGTATGAGGTTCATAAAAGTGACTCCCTCCAGTCACGTGATTTTATACAACTGCTCTCAAAATCACATATGAAAGTGACTCCGTGAAAAATACATAAGGACGGTTTTTACCCTCCACAAGTGGAAAATCCTCTTCAGCTCCTTGTGAGTCGAATCCAAGAACAGGTAAGGTCTAGATGGCCAGTTCTTGTCTATTGGTGATAAAGAAGGCATCTTGTTTTTCATTTCCAAGAAGTATTTTTGTACCTGTTTTGGGTTGACAGATAATACTAGGATGAGAAAAATACACTGGAGAAGATACTGTTCTATATGCACTGCAGGGTACAGTGGACTTTATCAAGTTTTCATCCATACAATGTTGTGGGAAGTCTCCACTCCCCCATGAGAACAAACATTAACACTCATGTCAACACCGGTGCCAACATCAGCTGGAGCTCTACTGGCCCACAGCAGGCCTCTAGTTGTGCCTGGATATTTATACTGAAATTTCAGGAGATCAGAATTAAATAGAACCAGCGCTCCTCTACTGTACGGCAGAGTTAGAGAGAAAGTACATTCATCACGCATTCTGTGGGCTGCCTTGCTAAGACCAACAGGCCTGCTCACAACGGATCCACGCAGCAAGGTGTTCACTTTATGAAGGTACAAAGGCAAAAGCTGACTTTCAACTCTGATCTTTTCTGGCCTTGAGATGCATGGAACCATGCTCTCCTGAGACAGCAGTGACTACAGCGCCCACCCCAGCAGTGCCATCGAGAGGGTCACTAACCAATACCCTCTGCTGGGCTGCATCTGAGGGGTGACCGCGGCAGAGCAGGCACAGGTGACACCATCCTGACTGCCGGCGAGCTTCCTGGACACGGGCCTCCTATAGCACAGAGGGTCTCTGCTCCGTGGGAAGCCTCACGGCGGCTCTAGCAGGTCAGTGCCACTACTGCCCCCTTCCACACAGGGTCAAGTGGGGCCACAGGAGCCGGGGAACCCGCTCGGGTCACAGATCTGTCAGCCAGTGGCAGTGTGGGCTGTGTGCTCCTCCACCCTCAGCCACCTCCGCTCCAGCTGAGCCCTCCCTGCAGCCCAGGCTGCCTAACAGCGAGACAACGGGCTTCTTGGTTCAGTTCCTCAACACGCCCTCTGCCTAATAAGATGAACATTTCATTAGTCACACACAGGCCACTAACAACTCTCTGACATGATTCTACACCAATCTGGGAGGCGATCAGGTCACACTACCTGTTAGACAGAGTTAGGATTTCATCAATATCAAAATCAATACCAATATCAAAAGTCACTGTTGACTTTTTAAAGTCACATTTTCTTGACTTAGCTATCCAGCAGTTAAACCAGTTGTACTAATGAACAACACACAAAAAGTGCCAACTTACAATTCTCTGCAGAGTAAACTCATAGATTTTCTTTCCAGCGTTAGCTCTGAAGTATTTCCTGTACTCCCTACGCACCTTGAAAAGAAGCAGATTAATGGTTAGAATGTGGGCAATGAGTATTTACAATGATATCTCTCTTTTCAAAATGAAAAATGAAGTGAAAACATGGGAAACAAGTGGATTTATAAGTGTCCTTTTTGGACTGAGTAAACTAACTGGAGCACATTAAGGCCTTTTGTGGGAGAAAAAGAAACCGAGGGATATAAAATGACACCAAAACGAACTGATTTTAAATACTCTCAGTAATTTTTAAAGAACCTAATGATTTCACGAGAAACATTTTACAGGCAATGCTGCAAACTTGTGACAAATTACAGCAGACTTCAGAGAATATTACCTGAGATAATTTTCCCCTTCAATTTGATTTATTAAATGTCCAAAAAAAGTCTGAAGAACCATAGCAAATTTCCCAAAAGCCTTGCACACAAATATAGGACTTTAATGTCATGCACTGAGCACTGATTAGTTAAAAAAAAGAATTTTTTAAAAAAGCTTTTGAACTATCACTATCTTCCATTCAACTGCATTGAATTTTGTCATCTCACTCCCACCAAACTTTATGCTTAATGTTATCAAAGCATTTAAAAATCTATTAGCTTTAATTCACATACCTTTCCCTTGCTACATTGTTGTAATTTACTTCTTAAAATATCTAACAAGTAACAGTAACTAAGTGATGTATTTGAAGAAATAATGAAACAGTTACACGCTGAAGTTGAGCTGGGAATATTAAAATTATTAATACCCTGATATAAATAGCATAGAATTTAGCAAAATATTAATATAGTTGCATAATTCAGATATTTGTATCCCTTTTTCCTTTTGTCTCCAGTTTTCTGGGTTTAAATGATGTTCAAAATGTTTCTATACTAGCGGTTGTACAATAGCAAGCTGCTAGCCAAACTGTTTGTAGATAAATGCTTTGTGTGTCTGGAAGTTAAGAACTTCATCTAATAGCTCAGACCGCAGATTTCTCTTGAAACTTTCTAAGCTCTAGCAATAGTGACAGGGAGCTATAAGTCAAGGACCAGGCATAGGAGACAGGTCTCACCACCCCAATCCTCCTTCCACTTTTTTGTTTTTTTGTACTGGAGATCAAACTGGGGCCCTTGTGCTTATGAGGCAGGTGGTGGAACCACTGAGCTCAATCCCTGGCCCCCACCTTCCACTTTCTGCTTCCTCCATTTCTGTCATCTGTCTGGTCCCTCTGGGTACGTGAGCCCCAGAACCACTCCATACAGCTGAGCATTAGTATTGAGTTGCTATGTACCACGAAGGCAGTTTTTCCTTTTATTCTTATGCTAGTTTCCATTTCATTTTGTCACGGAATTATCAGATCAGCAAACATGTCAAATTTCCAACTTATATGGGCAGAAGGGACATGCAGAAAGAAGATGGTACCCGCTCCCAGCCTCCTACCACTGTGAGGTACATGGTAAGTTACAATGGGACAGGGCCCACGAGAACATGGCCTTCGGCATCACATACTACAGTTAGTCAAATCTCATCACAGCTGAGCGTGATGTAACATGCTCTTTGTAGGCAGTTTTTCCTTTTATTCTTATGCTAGTTTCCATTTCATTTTGTCACGGAATTATCAGATCAGCAAACATGTCAAATTTCCAACTTATATGGGCAGAAGGGACATGCAGAAAGAAGATGGTACCCGCTCCCAGCCTCCTACCACTGTGAGGTACATGGTAAGTTACAATGGGACAGGGCCCACGAGAACATGGCCTTCGGCATCACATACTACAGTTAATCAAATCTCATCACAGCTGAGCGTGATGTAACATGCTCTTTGAAACTCTTCTGAAATACAGCTTCATTTAGGAACAGCTTGCTGAGGACGTGCTGACACACAATGGAGCCCCTCATCGGCACCAGGAGCCCCACAAGGGCTGCAGGACTTTGTATTCATCTAAAACAATATTTGTATCCTTTCCAAGGGTAAAACAATAGCTCATAATGGAGCCCCTCATCGGCACCAGGAGCCCCACAAGGGCTGCAGGACTTTGTATTCATCTAAAATAAAACAATATTTGTATCCTTTCCAAGGGTAAAACAATAGCTCGTAACAATGTAACTCACTTTTAAAGGGAAAATAGAAACTTATTACATTCTTGGACTTTAAAGAAGTTTAATTTTATTTCACAATGATACTGGCAATATATTAAACCACTTCTGTCTCAGGGAGACTGTGGCAAAAATTGTTACTTAGCTCTGCTTCATGACACTCACCTACAAACTGAATTTGCTTTGTAGGTTTTGCTGGTGCACACCTCTAATGCAAAAATAGTTTGAAATCATATGAATTAAACCCAGAAAACTGAAAATAAACATATTACTGATGAAAATTATTATAGAAATAAATCACCCGACTCAACTCCCTTTTATGAAAATCAGAATGTAAATTAGAAGATGTGAATAACTGGGAAAATGCTTAGTTTTGGCTTCAAAAGCAGTGGCTGCAGAACCTGTTAGAATTCTTCAGAGTGTAGTTAAATTCATATTTAAGGTAACTCACTGTATCAAAAATTATACTTAGTATAGGACCATTTACTAGAAGCTTATAGGCTGAACGTTTGGAGGGGGAATGCATGCTATTCAAAGCAGAATACAGGGATATGTTTAAGAGTTTTTCAGGTTCAGTATCAATGATTTCTCCGTTAATATCCAAAGATTAAAAATAAGATTAAACGTTACTGATTAAAGTAAAATAATGAATAATGGTGTGGAAATAAGAGTCTTCAAAAAGCAACAAATGCAGGTGGTTCATGATGGTGATCAGCTGTGGAGTATCAGGAAGCCCAACTCCTCATCCTGTCTGAGGTCACTCGTGGGTTTCTGGAGCTCAGAGACAGCTTTGCATACTCAAGGAGGGACACCTTCGTCCTACTGTGGTCATAAGTACCCTTTGAAATAAAATCTGCCCAAATCAGAGGCATTTGAATTTAAGTTCTCCAGCTAAAGCATCCGCTGAGCTCCATCATTGCTCTCATGAAAATGCGTAATCACAGATGCAAAACCCTCTGATGTGTACTCTGGATGCTAGCTTTGAAAAAACCCGAACTCAGGCCCCCATTCATTAGTGGAGGAGAACAGCCAGGCAATGGGGAGCAAAGTACTGTCACCCGCAGGCCAAGGGCTGGACAATAGGCCAGCTTTCAGAACATTATACTATCTCATTTT